TTCAAGACTTGTGGTTAAATTCAGCCCACCTAGATAATCCAGAATAACCATCGCATCTCAGAGCCCTTAACCTTGTCCTATCTGCAAAGTCCCCCTTGTCATGAAAGGTAAGCTATTCGCAGGTTCCAGGAGTGAGAAAATGGGCATCTCTGGAGGCCATTATTCTCAAGTCCGTATTGTGTTTGGTTCATATATTTCTTAAGTCTTTCAAAATTGGGAGATCCCTCCTTTAGAATTCTGGGTTCTTTTTCCTTTAGGATCCTCCAGCCTTGATTTTGCTTATGGCTTTTAAAAAATGTTCTCCTGTAAACTGGTAGTTGAATCTAGAAGCTTTGTCAGATTTCTGATCATTTCTTTTGGTAAGACGACGTCATCGAAGGTCTTTTGTAATATTAGTAACTTATAGCCGCTCAATACACACATTTATTAATCCTATAGGGGCTGAAAAAGGGTGATAGTCTAATCCTACAATTCTGTGTTTGTTCATTAGTTGGAATACATCTACAAAGTGTCACCCGCTATTTGGCTAGCCTCAGATGCAGTTCTTCTAGGAGAGGCACGATAGATGCTCCTTCTGTCCTTTTATTTTCTTCTTTCCACAATGAAGAGTTGGTTCACTAGCATCCTCCCTCCATGCCCAGTGAGTTCCATTTTGAATCACCACAAAGTCAAGGATTTAAGGATGTCCGATGTCAAACCCAGATCTATATTCTGGTTTCAGAACAACAGTACCTAAATCTCTTCTCACTGCGAATCAAGCTATTCTATCCCCAAGACTGCTTAACTGAAAATAGTTGCTCACTAAATCCACTGCAGAAAATAAGAATTAATTAGTTGTTCCAGTTTTAATAAACTAAAGACATAAGCCAGAGTCACATAAGGTCATGATCGGCAGGCAAGTCCCAGTGTGACCATCCTGGGTTGCCAGCCTTCCAGTCAAAACAAAAGATTCATTAGTCAACGTGGTCTTTTCTCATGCCATTAGCTTCTCTGTATTGAAAGTACCTTAAATAACCTCGCTCCCATTATTGGCTCCAAAAATCCCTTGTTTAAAAGCATCTACTTAATAAGACCGGCCAACGTTATTGAGTTCTTGCTACGGGAGAGGCAATGTTCTAAGTACTTCAATAGATTGATTCATTTAATTTTCACAATCGCCCTAAGAGGTAGACATTACTTTTATCTCCACTTGTGGATGAAGAAATTGAATCTCAGAGAGGTTAAGTGACTAGCCTGAGGTCAACCAGCTGATAAATGATGAAGCTGGGACTGGCAACCCTGGGCCCGTATTCCCACACGGCAATTATTGGCCAAGTAGTAGCTGTCTCCTTGAGACGGCATGTGCCCTGCGTTTACCACAGTACCCACCTGTGCTCTTCATTCATTGATATTGCTTGCCTGTCCTCAGCAGGTACTTGAGTTTAAGATTTCTGATTCGGCCCTGGCGGGCTTGGCTCAGCGGTTAGAGCATCAGCCTGCGGTCCAGAGAGACCTGGGTTCGACTCCCACTAAGGGCATGTACCTCGGTTGCAGTTTGTCCCCGGCCCTGGTTGGTCGTGCAAGTGGCAGCCACTCAATGTGTCCCTTTCACATTGATGTTTCTCTCTCTCTCTTCCTCTCTCTCCCTCCCAATCTGTCTGAACAAAAGGTAGAAAAATGTCCTCAGGTGAGGATAAAAAAAAAAAAAAGATTTCTGATTCGCCTCGCCACCCCTTTACAAGTCTAACGGTTCTAGGAAGCTTTAATTGGGTTGGTAATAAGAAGGGATGCCTCATCTGAACCTGTCCAGGGAATAGTTTTATTTGTCCTGGAGCCCACACTGTGCTGGATTTATCAACGCAGACTCCCAGTGCCAACTTTGATGGAGTAAACTGTTTCCGAAATGCAGGCCAAAGCATCTCACTTGAGCTGTGACTTAGTAACTATGTGTGCAATTACCCAGCGGGGCGATGCATGATGGACATGCTCAAGATGGGATCTGGGTGCACTGGACTAAGTAATTTCCTCCTTTTTGTTTCTCCTGCCACCAGAAACAATTCTCGTCCTTGTTGACTGTCTCACCGGAGTCAGATCTTCCTCTGGCCGCTGGAGACGACACTGAAGATGTGACTCCGAGGCCAGACAGCTGTCAAGAGGCGATGGAACTCAAGCCCAGCACCACAGTGTCTGCTGTGTGACTTGGGGTTACTTTGTAAGGTTCTCTGGGCCTATTTTTTTATCACATAAAAAGCCAGGGCTGGATGGTGATGATGTATCAATTCTACCTCCTCCTAATCTGTCTTCACTGCGCTTAAGATCCAGATTCCTGGGAGAGAGTGATTGGTCCAGATGGAGTCACATGCTTGCCCCAGCAGGCAAGAGGTGATGGGCACTTTGATTGACAGCTCCCAGAGATCTGCATGCAATGGGGATGGATGGGTGGGAATAGGTCCCTGTATTGCACATGAAGGTGCTGGTAAAACTCAGCAGAGGTCCGCAGTGGAGGCCTTCCTGGGGGTGCACAGGGTGCCACAGGGCCCAGGCAGCTCTTTCAGGAGCTGGGACAGGGATTGCTGGTCTCGCCATCTGCAGAATGACCATCCTGGAGTACATAGACCCCGAGGGTCTCTCTGTCCCATCCCCCTCTCTGGCCAATTAAGACCCTCTGGCTCCTTCACTGAACACCACCTGCCAAAGAATGTTGGTTTCCTGGACTCCTGCCTGGGTGCAGCCCTGGGACATACAGCTGCACCTGTCACCAAATCTTCCCCTCTCCCTCTGATTATGAAACACCGTGATGAGATGCAGGAAAAGGGTCTTTAACATTGGACATTAGTGACAGTCATCATGTGCCCATAGAAATCCTCTTCCCACTCCCTCCATTACTGTGTACCCGTCTTAATCCTTGTCAGGCTTCATTACGCGTGGACAATAAAGTGACGCTGGAACAATAAAACGAGAACGTTGAGGGGTGGGCAGAGTGGCTTCTGGGTCAGGCTGGAGTGGGCACTGCCTTCTTGGCCACATAAAACTTTTATTGCGTTGGCTGTCTCACTGCCGAAGCCTGTGGCTCTTTCAATTATACCCTTAGCGTGGTCAGAGCTCAGGCTCCAAGCCAGTGATTCTCCTCCTTGGCTGCGAATTGGAGATGCTCTGGGGAGCTTAACATGCTGAGATCCGTGGTCCCACCCCCAGAGAGTCCAATTTAATTAAGTCTGGTCATCTTTGGGCGTTGGTATGGTTCAGTCTCCCCAGGTAATTCGAATGTGCAGACAGAAATGAGGACCACTGACAGGTATGGGCTGGCTCTTCAGGTCACTGGGTCTCCCTCCCCTAGTAGAATGAGGATTCTGGGGTAGCAGCCTTGTCCTGGACTTTTGGAAGCACCTCCTAGTGGCGAAGCATACAGAGCCAGATAGCCATGGGTTCAGATCCCAGATCTTCCTCTCACTCACTGTGCACCTGAGGGCAAATGTCTTAACCTCTCTGAGATACAGCTTCTTCATTTATAAAGTTGGGTTCATAACAGAACTCCCCGACAAGGGTGTCATTAGGATTAAATGAACTAGTGTATATAAAACACTTGGTACAGTGCCAGGTATACATAAGCCCTTGATAACTGTTAGTTGTTATTACTATTATCTGGCATTTCCCATGTTTTATCTGAATATTTAGATACTTGGTGTGTCAATCTAAACAAGGCAGCCCCATGAGGGAAACTGGTTTTATGATATACAGAAGAATTTCTAGGACCCTGCTACCTGAAGGGTGCTCTGGGGAACGCCCCCTCTATCACCCCAGAACTTGGGAGAAATTCAGAATCTCAGGCCCACCCCAGGCCTAGGAACCAAAAACCTGCATTTTTAACATGAGCCCCAGGTAACCTGCATGGACCTTAACTAGCACTTGAGAAGCATTGGACTAGAATGTTCTGAGCTGAGGGCCCCGGATGAGAGTCATTCTCCACTACACTAGTCTTAAGCCAAGGTAACCAGGGGTGAAATTTTAGGCACTCTGGTAGGAAGATATTTCTGATCAAAAGAACTTAAAAAGTCATTCTGTTGGACTACTGAGATGCTCACATTGACTTCTCTCTTTGGGACTACACCCATTGTCACACGGAAAGGCTCAAGACAACTCTATATGACAGGTACTATCTTAGCATGTAAAGAAATTGAGACTCAGAGAGATTAAGGAACTTGCCTAAGGCCACACAGCGTGTACAGAACAGTCTTTTGAAGCCTGCTCCAGGGTTCTGACTCTTCTGCTTTTAGTTTGCTTGGAACCAGTAAGTAACCTCTGGATAATTCCCTATTTCTCGCCACTGTGCAACCCTCCTTCTTTCCACACTCCTAGCTGGACGGCGAACATGCCCATCAGAGCCACACCCAGGGGCTGTGTGCCATGTTGTGGTAAAGAAATGCTTGATTATGATGATGTTCTCTCCTCTCCGGAAAGTTAATTGATACTCACACGCAGGCTTGATCCTTGAGAGTGCGTGGGCCAAGTGTGTGTGAGGACTGACGAGCGTAGCAGAGACGGAGCAGAGGTGCTCTCCACAGCCTGGGCACTGGCATGCTCGCACAGACCTTTCCCGAAGCAGAGAGCAAAAACCCGTGCCAATTCCATGAAAGGGCTGAAGGGTCCTTTAAGATATGAGGAGTGCATCATGAGTGGTTCCGGGTCCTCCAAAGGGGACTCACATTACTTGACTCACAGGGGAATTAAAAGAGTTGGGGTGAGAGAGAAGCAAAACCTACATCGGATGAAAACAATGGAAGAAGAAGAAAAAACTGGCAATAGTCATTAGTGGTGGAAAGCGGGGGGTAATGAGGAATGGTGCCTTGTCCCTGGCTGTTGGGGACAAGCAGGGGGGATCCGGAGCAAAGGAGTAAAGTAGGTGGATCTGGATGATGTGATGTTGATGATAATGAGAGGTATTCTATGCTGGGCATCACGTGAGTTCTTCGTAAGTACCATCCCATCGAATCCTCTAGATGTGCACCATTCAATACACAGCCATGCGCACCATTCGATACACAGCCATGCGCACCATTCAGTACACAGCCATGCGCACCATTCAGTACACAGCCATGCGCACCATTCAATACACAGCCATGTGCACCATTCAATACACAGCCGTGTGCACCATTCAATACACAGCCATGCGCACCATTCAGTACACAGCATGTGCACCATTCAGTACACAGCCATGTGCACCATTCAATACACAGCCATGCGCACCATTCGATACACAGCCATGCGCACCATTCAGTACACAGCCATGTGCACCATTCAGTACACAGCCATGTGCACCATTCAAAACACAGCCATGCGCACCATTCGATACACAGCCATGCGCACCATTCAGTACACAGCCATGTGCACCATTCGATACACAGCATGTGCACCATTCAGTACACAGCCATGTGCACCATTCAGTACACAGCCATGTGCACCATTCAGTACACAGCCATGCGCACCATTCAATACACAGCCATGCGCACCATTCGATACACAGCCATGCGCACCATTCAGTACACAGCCATGCGCACCATTCGATACACAGCCATGCGCACCATTCAGTACACAGCATGTGCACCATTCAGTACACAGCCATGTGCACCATTCAATACACAGCCATGCGCACCATTCGATACACAGCCATGCGCACCATTCAGTACACAGCCATGCGCACCATTCGATACACAGCCATGCGCACCATTCAGTACACAGCCATGCGCACCATTCAGTACACAGCCATGTGCACCATTCGATACACAGCATGTGCACCATTCAGTACACAGCCATGCGCACCATTCAGTACACAGCCATGTGCACCATTCAGTACACAGCCATGTGCACCATTCAATACACAGCCATGCGCACCATTCGATACACAGCCATGCGCACCATTCAGTACACAGCCATGCGCACCATTCGATACACAGCCATGCGCACCATTCAGTACACAGCCATGTGCACCATTCAATACACAGCCGTGTGCACCATTCAATACACAGCCATGCGCACCATTCAGTACACAGCATGTGCACCATTCAGTACACAGCCATGCGCACCATTCAATACACAGCCATGCGCACCATTCGATACACAGCCATGCGCACCATTCAGTACACAGCCATGTGCACCATTCAATACACAGCCATGCGCACCATTCAGTACACAGCATGTGCACCATTCAGTACACAGCCATGCGCACCATTCAATACACAGCCATGCGCACCATTCGATACACAGCCATGCGCACCATTCAGTACACAGCCATGCGCACCATTCGATACACAGCCATGCGCACCATTCAGTACACAGCCATGCGCACCATTCGATACACAGCCATGCGCACCATTCAGTACACAGCCATGTGCACCATTCGATACACAGCCATGCGCACCATTCAATACACAGCCATGAGCACCATTCAGTACACAGCCATGTGCACCATTCAGTACACAGCCATGCGCACCATTCAGTACACAGCCATGAGCACCATTCGATACACAGCCATGAGCACCATTCAGTACACAGCCATGCGCACCATTCAGTACACAGCCATGCACACCATTCGATACACAGCATGCGTACCATTCGATACACAGCCATGTGCACCATTCAGTACACAGCCATGCGCACCATTCAGTACACAGCCATGAGCACCATTCGATACACAGCCATGAGCACCATTCAGTACACAGCCATGAGCACCATTCAGTACACAGCCATGCGCACCATTCAGTACACAGCCATGCACACCATTCGATACACAGCATGCGTACCATTCGATACACAGCCATGCGCACCATTCGATACACAGCCATGTGCACCATTCGATACACAGCCATGCGCACCATTCGATACACAGCCATGATTCACATGTGGCTTTTTAGATTTAGGTTTATATGAAATAAAATGAAAATTAAGTTCAGTAATTACACTAGTCAAGTTTCAAGTTTTTGATAGCCATGCATGGCTAGTGGCTACCACATTGGATGGTGAAGCTATAGAACATTCTTGCAGAATACGCTATTGAACAGTACAGTGCTGGTCTGTATCCCACCTACTCCAAGTATGGCCTATCGATATTACCTAGAAGCTTCTTAGAAAGCCAGAATCTAAGCCCTTCCTATGCATCTATGGAATCACTAATTTGGAAAGTTTTTGGACAGTATTTCTTCAAGTGCATTTTTTTTTCCTGCCTCATTGTCTTTCTCTCTTTTCTTTCTGGAATTGCAATTACCCTCATTTTAGACTTTTTGATATTATTTCACAGCCCCTAAAGCTCTGTTCATTGTATTCTCAATCTATTTCCCCTCCCTCTTTTAAAGAATGAATATTTTCTATTGATCTAATTTCAAGTTCCCTGACTTTCTTTTCTTATATATTCTAGTTAGAAAATTTCCATTTGGTTATTTTTAATATTTTCTATTTTTCTGCTGAGATTCCCCATTTTATATTCACTATGACCCTATTATCCTCTACATAATCAGACATAGTTACAATAGTTGTTTTAAATCCTTGAATCATAGTTTCAATATCTGGGTCATCTCAGGATTGGCTTCTGTTGAATGTCTTTTCTCTTGAAAATGGGTCACATCTGCCCGGTTTTCTGCATGTCAAGCACTTTGGAATTTCACCCTGGATGCTGTGAATGTTTTCTTTAGGGGATCATGAATTCTCTTACATTGCTCCAAAGAGTGTTGATGATTTTGTTTTAGCAGACAATGCAGTTGGTTAGACTGCAAAGTGTCTCACCTGTATGTGCAGAAGTTAAAAATCTTAGTTGAGATCTTTAATCTTTAGCTGTAAGCTATTTTGAGTTCTCCTGTGCACGCATGGTCTTGGGGTCTGCTAGAGATTTGGACTGCATCTACACCCAGAGTTTGGGGTGCCCCTTCTCTGCTTTCTCCCCTCTAGGACTGTCCCTCATTATGATTATGGCTGCCTTGGGCTGCATGCATCCTCTAGTTCCTGAGGCCAGAATAGTTGCCAAGATTTCTGAGTGTTTTAGCTGCCCTGCAGGCTGAGATTCAACTTCCCTCCAAAATCTACTTCTTCCCCCAACTCTCACAGTTGTGTGTGGTATGGTTATGGTTAGTCTGTTAGGCTAATGGGTCACATCTGACTCTGCTGTACCATAGAGTTCAGGACTTACTGAATCCGTCTTCATTTTACTAAGATCCCCACATGATTAAGAGGCAATGCTCATGTTATTGATGAGGAAACCGAGGCTTAAAGGGATTTCTCCTAATGGCCAAGGCCAAGAGTGTTAGGGGAGATGGGGTTCAAACCCATCAGGATTTTTATTTTTTATTTTATTTTATTTTATCCTCACCCGAGGACATTTTTCCATTTTTTGTTCAGGTAGAGTGGGAGGGAGAGAGAGGAACAGAGAGAGAGAGAGAGAAACATCGATGTGAAAGGAACACATCGAGTGGCTGCCACCTGCACAACTGACCAGGGCCGGGGACAAACTGCAACCGAGGTACATGCCCTTAGCGGGAACCGAACCCGGGTCTCTCAGGACTGCAGGCCAATGCTCTAACCGCTGAGCCAAACCGGCCAGGGCCCATCAGGATTTTTAAAATATTTTTTTCTTCATTGATTTTAGAGAGAGAGGAAGGGAGAGGGAGAGAGATAGAAACATGGATGAGAGAGAACATCGACTGTCCGCCTCCTGCATGCCCCCACTGGGGGTTTGGCCCACAGCCTGGGCACGTGCCCTGACCGGGAATCAAACCGGCGACCTCCTGGTGCAGGGGTCGACGCTCGACCACTGAGCCACACTGGCCAGGCAAGACTCCTTCTTTAATATCTACTGTTGATTCATGAACAGTGAAGCTCATGGCCAACAGCACTGTCACTCCCGCCTGAATGAAGCTTATCTAACATGTATTTTCTTTTTCAGGCGCATCACGGCCCCCCTGTGCTCAGGAACAGGGCCTCAGCGCTACGCTTGGGGGTCCTTTTACATAGTGAAATCCCCAGCGCAAAGCACAGATTGCTGAGGCATCGCACCAAACTGAGAAAAGGAACGTGTTCCCAGTGGGAGGGCCGGCGGGGGAAAGAGCGGCTCCCTGTTCAACCTCAGAGGCAAGCAGGCTTGGGGGGCAGGGGGGTGGGGGGGCTGCCACGTCTGCTGCTCTGTGCCCGTCCTGAGAGGTTAGAGATAAATCTGAGCAGGGAGGCAGATCCTCAAACACCGGTTTTCGTGGATCACGAGGATCAGCCACACGGGGATGGTGCTTTGCATACGGTAAACTCGGTGAAGGTTTCTTAGGGTTATTAAGGGCTGGGAGGTGGCTCATGGGGCTCATGAACAAATGTCTCTGTGGGGAAAGAAAGGGCAAAGTGGAGAAAGCTCGCTCAGACTTCCTGGTGCCCCGGGGGAGGGGCAGGGCTTAGAGTGGAGTCGCCCGATGTGGTCAGCCTCCAGAAATTCAATTCCGTGTGCAGACCAGCTAGACATCTTGATTGCAAGAGACAAAAATGGACATTTGTTACCTTAAGCAGAAAATACCTCTGTTGGAAGGGCATGGGAATCATGGGTACGGTGGCGGGCCAGGCAAGAAGAGAGACAAAGGGCTGCCAAGGGCCAGCCGCTGACATGATCTGTGTAGGGGCCACACGTGGCACACACCATGCACATGCAATGCCAACCACTTCCCTTATCAGGATCTCATACTCTGGGCCACTATGCACTTGCCCAAATCATGCCAGGATTCTTATGTTCCGGGCGCTGGACCATTACACTGTGTTTCATCTCCTCCTCCTTCCGTTTTCACAGAGGCCCCTGGAGGTAGGTCTGTTGTCCCATTTTACAGACAAAGAGACTAAGGGCCAGAGACTTAAGGAACTTGCTGGGAGTGAGTCAGAGAGCAGGTGACAGGTGCAGGATTCCACCTGGCATCCCAGGGGAGTCAGTTCCTTCCAGGTGAGGAGGAGAGGAGGTGGGGAGGTGGGGAGGGAGCAGAAACAGTGGGTTAGGGTCCTCGTTCTCAAACTGTGGTCCCTGGACCAGCAGCAGCAACAGTAGCACTTGAGAACTGAAAAGTGGCTTCTCAGGTGTCACCCCAGATGTCCTGAATGGACACCCTGAGGGCATCATGACAAGCCCTGCAGGTGATTCTGATACTCCTGTTTGAGTCCCCTGGCTTAAAAGCCCAGGGCTGGCTGCCCGTGGCAAGTTATCAACTCCGTTTGTCATCTTCTGCATTATGTATGAGGTTTCATTAATATGCAAATTTCTGTCAATTGATTGGCTTGCCTGGCATGGTGCCTTGCATCTCCTAAGTCAGAGGCCGCTGTGCTTTCCTGTTTTGTAATTCTCTAACTGTGGACCATTCTGTAGCTGCAATGAGATCAATAAACCCTCTACTCAGAGGGAAGTGAGCCGGGCTGGCTCCCATATGCCCAGAATTTCCGCTGCCTTGAAGCTCCTCAGGCCGGGGAATTGCAAAGGGGCCCTTGGAGCCAGTGCATTGACGTTTACATTTCAGCCTTGTCAATTACTGGCTGTGTGAGGAGAGCAAGTCATGTGACCTCCCAGCCCATTTCCTTATCTGTGAGAAGATGGCAGAATCTTCGGACTTATTAGTATGAAAATGATTAGTCTTTTCTTTCTCCCAGCCTTGGCCTCTGAGGGATTCAGTGACATACCCAAGGTCACACGACTCTCTTGTGGTGGAATCAGGCCAGAAAGCAGGTGACCTACAAGGACTCTTGGCCCGTCATGAATCCACCTGGAGGCTGGTGTCGTCACTGACAGTACTTTGCTGCTGGTGACTGTGGGGAGGGAGGGGTCAGTTTCAGGAGTCTGGACATGTGGCCACTCTTTGACCATTTTTGGATACTGAGAGACAGGACAGGCAAGAGACAAAGCCAGGTGATGGAGGTAGGCACTGTCCCTACCCTGAAATACAAGCCTTGGTCATCTACCTTGTTCTCAACGTGTCTATAAGCTGCCTGGTTGGGGGCAGCCAAGCCTGCAGGTCTTTGGTCCTTAGTTTCTTTGTCTGTAAAATGGGACAACAGCACCTACCTCAGGAGGCCGCGGTGAGGACTGAGGAAATGATGATGCACAAACTATGCTCCCAGTCAAGTGACATATGCTCCCTGGTCCTGGCGTTCTGTAAAATTGGGGTAATGACAAACCCATGTCAGAGAGGGCACTGGGATTCTTGCTATTGTTGCTACTCCACTGTTTGGCTGTATCCTGATTCATTAGCTCGTCCTATGGGAAAACTTCTGGGTTGTCCCCACTTTTCCCTGGGACAAGTCCACAATTCCTTATCCAATCCTCTGGGGACACCTGTGTTTTGGGATTCACATGTTTTTGTCCTCTTTTTCTGAAGGACTTTTTATTTTCATTTATTCAAGAACTTTACATTTTATTTTCAATGACAGCTGACATTCAGTATTCTTTTGTCTTAGTTTCTGGTGTACAGCATCGTGGTTAGACAGTCATATACTTTACAAAATGTTCCCTCTGATATTCCCAGTACCCCCCTGGAGCCATCCATAGTTATTGCAATATTATTGACTATATTCCCCAGGCTGTACTTACATCCCTATGACTACTTTGTAACTGCCAACCTGTGACTCTCAATCCCTTCACCTTTCTACCAAGTCCCCCAGCCCCCTTCCCTTCTGGCAACCACCCGTCTCTGTGTCTCCGGGACATGATTTGGATTTCAGGCAGGGTACAGGGCACATACATCACATGCTATGTAATACCCCTGGGGGTGATGGGGCAGCACCCTGCCATCAAACACA